ATATTTTAATAGAAGCAATAAAGGCTTAATATCGTTAACAGGGATGGATCTCTTACAAACTGATGAAAAGAATCAGAAAAATGGACTAGGGCATGACCAGAAAAGTCACAGAAGAGCAAGACAAACAGGAAATAAACATAAAAGAAGATTTCGTCACACTAATAATCAGAGGCAGCCAGGTGACAGCGATATTAAAGAACTCACTGTTGTATGTTAGAGTTCAAGGGCGAAAAAGCAGTGACTCCCACGTTCGTAAGCATGTGGGAAATGGTTGCACTTTTTTTTTTTCAGTTGGATCCACACAGATTTGCCCCTCATAACTGTTCAACTTTGCATTTCTTTGACCATAAAAGTATTTTAAGTGTTGGTTTTCTCTGAACTCGTAATTTCAATTCCAGTAACCTGTGCTACAAAAGTAGTCACGGGTGGGAACATGAACTGTGGATGTTTGCCACTGCCTGGTTTATATGAACACAGGTTGGGGTGAGAAGAACCCCCCTGCTTGGGGAAAGATGGTTGCAGAAACCGTGATAGGAGCATGACTGCACAGACAGAAACAAGTAATCAACAACATTTGCAGTGACTTGAGACGATGCTCATGACACACACGTATGGACACACGTGTACTCCTCCACAGTACAACCCCAACTGCTTCAGATGTACGCCGCACACATACACACGGAAGAAGGACATTCACAGTGTGCAGCAGTGATTCTTCTCTGGATGAAGAAATACAGTGCAGCAGGCATTTTACTTTCTTCTTCCCATTTCACATTTTCTATAATAGGAAATGCCTTTGTAATCAGAAAAAAATCCAATAATTGCTCTTAGCAAGCCAGAAGAGAAAATACGCAAGCGGTCCATGTGGGAGACACCCCCCCCCCACCATCAAGAATGTCTGCCCACAACCTCCGTTCCTGCAGCTCCTCAGAGACCATTTGACAGAGTAGCACCACAGCTGCTATGCCAGAGGATGGCCCTCCGAAAACGAAGCCTTCACCAGCAGTGCACAGTAAGACAAGCCAGATAGAGCATTTCTGGCTACTGTCAACACACCTTAGGAGCAGCACACTGAAAAATGCATTTTGCTACCTGCTTAAGAGACATTGCTATGCCCAAAGTGATATGTAGCTTGTTATTATTTGACAGCACGAGTAGAAACGTGTTGTTGTGAAAAACACCAGTTATTATATATTTCTATAACAATTGTTCTATAAATATATGAAACACTTAAAAGTAATAGAGGTGCATCATGGAAAATTAAGAAAATACAGAAAAGTCGAGAGAAGAAAGAAAATTATAGACCTGTGCAAAAACAACCATGATTCAAATTTTGTTGTGTTTTTATTCCTAAGAATGGGATTTTACTTTTATTGATGTGTTTTTGTACTTGTCTTTCTCCTTATAATGGAGATCACTCTGTATTCTGTTTCCTAAAGAAATAACTTTTCAATTCATCCATTGCCCCGTATTTATTTATTTATTTATTTTTGCATCAGAGGAAGGACCGTTATCATTAAAGGAAATAGTAATTTACAGAGAGAGAGAGAGAGAGAACCATCCATACCCATGAAAGAAGAGGTGCACAGTAGAGGTTCGTAGAGCAGCCCACAGGGCAGTATTGACAACAAATACAATCGCAAGTGAATCTGGAAATGTGTCATAGAGGCGTTTTCATCATCCAGCTTTGATCCATGTGTTTGAATCTCCCTTGGAAACCTAGGTTGAATTTGTACCTTCAAGTACTCATAGTCCTAGGCTCCAAAAGGAGGCAGGGACTCTAACAAATAGCTTGGGGCTCTGAAGGCATTTCATTGCATCCATTTCCACTCCAGTAGAAATGAGAAGGAGGCCGGATCCCAGTCTATATTTTGAAGGCATTTGTGGTTATCACTCATACCATCGAGTACTTTGTAAGACTTCTCTGGCTCTATAATTGCCATTAGTCACCGCCCTGGCCAGCTGTGTCATGTCAGCCAAAGACATGTCACCTCCAAGTTTCAGTGCTCTCTGGAAGGAGCTTCTGTTACCGAAACAAGCAGGAACAGTGCGGGATGGTGTTTACAACATGCTCTAAAGCCTCGAGAAATTTCTAATACTTGAGTAAAAGCCAGATCGTATTTTCAGTGATCTCCACCCATGACTCCAGAAAACAATGAGTGAGTAGGCGAAAGAAGATGGGCACTGAGAATCTTATGGCAAAAAGCAGAGCCCAGGGGGCTGGCGCTGTGGCACAGTGGGTTAAAGCCCCGGCCTGTGGCACTGGCATCCCATATGGACACTGGTTCATGTCCCTGCTGCTCCACTTCTGATCCAGCTCCCTGCTATGGCCTGGGAAAGCATCAGAGGATGGCCCAAGTCCTTGGGCCCCTGCACCCACGTGGGAGACCCAGAAGAAGCTCCTGACTCCTTACTTCAGATCAGCTCAGCTCCAGCCGTTGCGGCCATTTGGGGAGTGAACCAGTGGATGGAAAACCTTTCTCTCTCTCTCTCTCTCATTCTTTCAAATAAATAAAATAATTCTTAAAAGGAAAAAAAAAGCCAAAGTATCAAGGAACTCGTGTTAGAAACAGAGTTAGATTGTGTTTATTCTTTGATCTTTATCTTTTTGAGTATGGATTTCAGGTAATAAATGCAAACATAACCACTGGTACCATTTATCCAGGGCCTTAAGCACTGTGAGAGCTGCTTCACAGATAACACAACATGTACTCCTTGGTCCCTGGTTCACAGATGATGAAAACAACAGAGACTGGGAAAACTGACCTTGAACACTGGGTGGTTCTTGTATTTGGATCGTATTTGCCACGAAAAATCTTTCAAATTCAGCCCTTTAATGGCCCCATTGATGTGATTCTAAAGGGATAATGCCAGTGTCTGCTAAAAGTTGAAAATTATCGTTCGTGTTTGCAACCGTTCTCATCAGATCGAGCTCCGGGCTGCAAGGTGCCAGCGCGCTGCTTCCTTCACCCCCTTGTGTAGCATCACTAGTTCAGGTGCATCAGCAGGGACAGGCGCTGTATCCCCTGCTTGTCACACACCACTGTGTTTATTCCTCACAGCAGCTCTACTGGGAGAACCAAACAATCCAGACAAGCAACAGCTCATGTTTTCGAATGGGGAAACCGAGGCACAGGTATGCTAAGCAACCTGCCTGAGACACACAGCTTGTAAGGGACGCCAACACCCAGCACGTCGCCCTCAGTCTAGGTTCATGTTGAACTGCTGTCTCATTAGGACCCCCTCGTCACAAAACCACAGAACTCAGAGCAGCAAGACACCATGAGAAGCTCCTTATAGCAAAGTATAGGGACAAAGGCAGGCCAAGCCCAGAGAGGCCAGGAGCTCGCCGTGGGACACACAGCAAAGGAATGGCAGCACAGATCGTCTGCTCCCAAGTCAGCACAATCATCTGGTACAGGAGTCAGAGTCGCCCGTGCGTGTTCTGTTGGTGGCTCCTTGATGATCTGATCCTTCTCTGGTCCTCTGAGAGCTCTGTCTAGGTTGCTTGGAGCCTTTCTCAAACTCATTCTTTCATATCAAAGACCCTCAGCAACAGTGCAACAACAAATGCTTTGCAAAGGGGCATCAGCCCTGACGGTTTCTAGCTACCCCCTTCACCTTGTTGTCCCTGGCTCCAAGGCCCAGAGCTGAGCGGATCTACACAGACACCATAGAGGAGCACAGCTCCCCAAGCACCCCTACCTCTACAGCCAGCAGCAGACTCCGCCCCAAGAGGGGCGGAGCTCCCAGGCCCTCTCGCATTTCACACAGCTCCTGGCTCCTCCCCTGCAGCTCTGTGAACCCGAGCTTCCAGGGGTAGTGGAGGTGGGGGGTGGGTTGAGGGAGGTGAGGGTGAGGAGGGGTTGGCCCATCAGTGGTTGGACGCAAGGAAAGAAATGCTAGAAAGCAGCTAGGCTTGTGGGTACTCTGTCCAGAGAGATCCTGTGCACGGCTGTCCCCCAGGGAGGGACAGCCACCACACTGGACACTTGGCAGGGCCAGATGTACTTGGTGCCGGCTCAGGTATGTCCCTGGGGGAAGGGTGCAGCGGTGAGCTGTCCTGCTCCGGCTGTACTCTGGGACCTCCCTGTCTCCTTTAGAGCTTGCTGGAACTGGCTGCAGCACAGCCCTGACTCAAACCACTGCAAAATATACTTAACACGCATTGATTTTCCATATAATTTTATAAGCACAAACATTCTCTTTCATTTCCTGAACAAACCAACTATTATTCCCCCAATAGTGTACCAATAAAAAATCAGTAATTTGCACATCACCCCCTATCTATAGCAGCGGCCGTTGTTTGGAGTTAGTCACTGAGGCCAAGTTCTTTCGGCTTCCAGTTCCACTCCCACTCCCTCAGCCCCCCCCCCCAACAACCCCCTCATGGGTAGACTCGTCCCCCACCCCCAGACAAACCATAAACTTGGAAGTGCAGGAGGCAGAGCCCTCTACACCTCCCCGAGTTTGGAGAAAGCCCTTTGTGTGAAAACCCATAATTTCGAAGCAATCCTTCATGGAAAGCAGGGGCAGAGGCAAGAGGTGCCACACTGAGCACCAGGCTACCTGGTGGCTGGGAGACTCCCGGACTGCACAGGGCTGTCCTCCGTCCCCGCCCTGCCTAGCCCAGCTCCGAGTAAGGACAAGGCCTCCAGGTGCACGTGCAAAGCGGAGGTGATTAATTTCCGTGACTGACACTTGTCTGAGGCTAACGGGCAGCCAAGCCCTCCAGGGGCAGGCATGATTCTAGAGTTGCATCATAGGACAAGCAATGACAAGAGTGCAAACGGCAAGTGGGAAGTCAAATGGAAAGTGGGAAGTTGCTCCCAGCCAACGTGAAGGTGCACACTCTTCCCCCGGGCAGCAACACAAAGTGTTTCTCCTTAGGAGCCACCCTAACTTCTAGAACAGCCGGCTCTTCCAACCCACCACCCCTGTGGCAGCCACCCAGGCTGACCGTGGCACAAAGACACAAAGAGAAAGCTGTTCACTCTCACCCAGCAGCCTCGGCAGTGCGCTGGCTCGCAGTCCCAGTCCCGGAGAAGCCGAGAAGCCGATCCTCAGGAGATAGCCTTCTGGGGGCTGCCACGGGGACCAGAAATACCGGTTTGCCACGATCCCAAAGGGGAGAAGGTGTCAGTCATTCAACACTCACTGTGGCGCAGATTCTGAAGTGGGAAAACAAGAAGCAAAGAAAAGCATTGCTCAGCGATGTGCAGGCGGAGGAGCTAAGGGCTGGAAGCGCTACCCTCTTCCCAGTGCCCCGAGCCAGGACCCCAGGCTGAGGTAGGCTTCCTGCTTGGCATTCAGGCGCTGGTTGTCCTCCTCCCCGATTTCCCGAGCCCTGGCACTGGGGAGTGTGCAATGGCTCAACCTGTTGTAATCAAACATGTGGGTTGCTGCCTGTTGCAAAGATATTGCAGCAGCCTCTTCATTAAAGGAGGCTGTTCTTGGATGCTCAGCATTAATTTCCTCGCCTGCGGTTGCCAGCTTGTGTTCCGGGATGGGATGCTGGGTCGGAATCCGGGGACTGGGGCAGAGGGAACCTGGGGCAGAATGGGACCGGCCATGCCTTAAAGCTCCCACTTGCTGGAGCTGGCTGGCTCCTGAGGACCACCCCGTGCCTGGTTCTTAGGCAGTGTGACAGAGGCTGCAGGGGACTCCCAGCTACTGCGATCTTCACACACTGTGGGGCCCTCACTCACCCTTAACCCCACTCCACGCCTTTAGCTCCCACTTGAATGCTGCCTCCTGGAATCTCAGCTCACCCTCCCGAGTCATGCTTTCTGATTACAGGCCACAGGAAGTGGGCAGGGAAGGCAGAAGGAAATAAAGAAAGCCTTCACTGACGTATCCATTCACTCTCACGTGCATGCACTCATCAGCCCATCCATATATTCATTCATTCATTCATCTATCTTTGCTGTAAATAACTTATATATTTATTCACTCTCCTATGTTCCTTTACCTATTGAACATTCGCTCATTCATGTAAGATAATTATTGGCTTATTAATTTGCATGTTTGTTTACATTATCATTCATTTGCTTATTAACCCATTCATGCAATCCATGCATGTGAAAATTATGCATGCGTTCATTTTTGTAGATGTGCAACATTCACTTTTTCTTATATATGTTTGTTCCTATATCTACACACCCATCCACTCATTCATTCGTTTCCAAATTCATTTATTCTGTGATAATTCATGGCCCATAATTTGTATGTTCCTTTCTTCATGACCTCTTTCATTGAAAATTCATCTGCTCCACTCTGCGCATTCAAAATGCCTACTATGTGCTCAGCACTGTGGTGGGGGGTGGGAGAATGCTAGCCAAACTCCAAAGTGCAGCAATTTTTAAAACCTAAATAATTCACAGCATTTTAGGGGAAAAAAATGAAGAATGAGGCCTTCCTCCTGTCTTTAAAGAGTCAAAGAAAGAAGTCCTGGACACAAGGCACTGAACGCAAAGAGGAACATGGTGAAGGCCACGAGAGAGGTTCTCGCGAAAGCCAAAGACGTGGGAACCTCAGGAAGAGCCCTGGACTTGAATTTAGTCTCCCAGACTGGTGGCCTTGCACTTTGCCCTGCCGCTGAGTGCAGCTGTGTGCTAATTAACCAACTCTCTCTCCTTGACTGTGTAACGTTGAGGATGTTGCGACCTTCACAGGTGAAAATAAGGCTCAGAAAATGCATATTTTTCTTCTTCCTTCCCTTCTCATTCCTTTCCCAAACCATCCTCAGCAAGTTTACCTTCACCTTCCCCAGAGTGGGCAGGGCAGGGCAGCCCCTGAATAGCAGTTTTGCACACAGGGCCTGGTCTGTGGGCAGAGGCAGCCAGAAGTTAATCTCCCCTGGCCCCTGGAGTCAGGCAGCAGAACCGGCAAACAGTCTTTCAAATGTAAAACCTGCCTGGTGTATTGGTCAAAGCAATCTATTAAGGTGGGATTTGCAGGGACCCTTCACTGGGTGACAGGGGCTGAAGGGTTTTTGTTAAGAACAAAGTGAGATGGAGTGGGCTGGAGGGACTTTGGGGTGGCGGTGGGGGTGGGGTCTGGCTGGTGGGGGTTGGAGTTGTGCATGTAGGTGCGTGGGAGGTGGTGAAGAGAGTAGGGAGCCCACATTTCTGGGTCAAGCCATCCACCTTGTGCAGCCCTGTGTAGATGCTGCATCCAGCCAGTTTCTTACAGAGGTCTCAGGAGCCAGGTCTTAGGACACATGAGGACACGAAGGGGTTCAGCGGTTTGCTCAAGGTTACACTATTCATAACGATGCAGAAGCAGAATTTGAATGCAAGTCTGTCTGATTCCCAAGCCCCCGCTTTGATCGGCTCTCACATGCTCTCTCAGGAAGAGTCTTCCAGTTCTTTCCACCCTCTGTGGACCATTTATGAAGGCCCACTTAGTCAGAGAGGAAGGATCATTGTCTGGAGACCTCTTGATTCCTTTTCTTATGGAAACTGGAGATGTGAACAGAAGTAGGACGAACATTTGAGGGACATTGCAAAATTTCTCTTGGTGAGTCATATACAATACATGTGTATCATATACATTGCTTGCATTCTCATTTAAAAATAATTTTAGCCATGGGGACATAAAAAAACATGACATCAAGCATGAAGGGCTATGGGGTTTCCCATTATACTCCACGGCAGGGGGCCTGTGGGGCTGGTTTCCTAGCCCAGGCCTGCTATAAGAATATGGCAGCTTCAGAGCTGCTGTTCCAGATAGGTGACCACGGGTGTGGCAGGTGCACGGAGTAACCACCATCCTAGGCCAAGGCAGGGGTGGGCCAATGTCCTGGGCTGAGCTGTGTCCACCCTGCCTGCCCCTCCCTCCATCACATTCATATGTTGAAGTCCCAAGGCCCATAGTGCCTTAGAATGTGACTGTATTTGGAGCATGAGTCTTTAAAGAGGTCATCAAGTTAAAATGTGGGCATAAGTGGGCTCTAATAAAATCTGACTGGTGTCCTTATAAGAGGAGAGGATGAGGACACCATGGGTACCTGTACCAAGGGAAGACCATGTGATGAGCCCATGAGATACCACGGGTACCTGTACCTGTGATGAGGCCATGAGTAGGCAGGGCCATCTGCAAGCCAGAAAGAGGCCCCAAAAGAAACCAACCCTGCTGGCCCTTTGAGATGGGACATCCAGCCTCCAGAACTGAGAGGATAATTTCTTCTCTTTATTATTATAGGAGCCCTTGCAGACAAATGCAGCCAGGGAGCATGTGTGGTAGCCATGGCAGTGGTAGGGAACCTGAGGGATGGGGAACAGTGACCAGCAGGGAAGTGCTTTAAGAGCTATGCAACCGAGGGCCAGTGCTGTGGCATGGTAGGTTAAGTTTCCACCTGTGGCTCCGGCATCCCATATGGGCACTTGTTCATATCCTGACTGCTCCACTCCAGATCCAGCTCTCTGCTACTGGCCCGGGAAAATGGCACAGCATGACCCAACTCTTAGGCCCCTGTGCCCATGTGGGAGAACAAGAAGAAACTCCTGGCTCCTGGCTTCGGATCAACTCAGCGCTGGTCATTGTAGCCATCTGGGGAGTGAACTAGTGCATGGAAGACTTCTCTGTCTGCCTCTTCCTCTCTCTAACTCTGCCTCTCAAATAAATAAATTAATGATTTTTTTTAAAAAAAAGAGCTATGCAACCATCCCAGGCACATTGCTGAGTCAGCCCTGAGCAAATGTCACATAACTAGGGGTGAGGGGAGCTGCTTAGAAGAGACATTCCAGAGTGAGCAGAGACTCATTGCCACCCAGTGGGAGAGAGACTGGTATGGGAGGTGAGAACACTGGCTGCCCTACAGGGTTCCCCAGGGATTGGGTTTTACATGGAAGGCAGCAGGAAGGAGACACTTCCTGGAAAAAGTGGCAGATTGAGCATATATGTCTACTTTTACTCCCTTCTGCATTCCATCCATTAACACTACAAGGGCTTTGTTGGTTTATAAGGCACAATCAGATGGAGATGGAGAATAGGAAGGCATTGGAACATTTGACAGCAGGTGAGATCCACGGTAGAAAGCCAATCCTGAGTCATTCATGGGCAGAGCGAAGAGTCATCCTAACCTCACTGCCATACCTGCACCTTGTTGGGAAATGCTGGCAGAGACTGGAGATTTATTTTCTGGAGAGGGTGATGAGCGCTCAGCAGAGTTTTGCTGCACTGCAGAACACGAGATACAACTGAGGCAGAGCACCCCACTCAACGCAAGGAGGCAGAGTGCATGTCTGCACTCAGAAGAAAGCCCCATGCCCAGCCCCACTGCCAGCTCCCAGTGTACAGTGTACAGGTTGTACAAGGGTAGCACAAAAAGTTCATGGAAAAACTGAATTAAAAGATGGGTTTATTTTGGTGTAAAATATTTTAAGGGGCCGGTGCTGTGGCATAGCAGGTTAAGTTGCCGGCTGCAGTGTCAGCATCCCACATGGGCACTGGTTCAAGTCCTGGCTGCTCCACTTCTGATCCAGCTCTCTGCTATGGCCTGGGAAAGCAGTGGAAGATGGCTCACGTCCTTGGGCCCTTGCACCCGCATGGGAGACCAGGAAGAAGCTCCTGGCTCCTGGCTTCGGATGGCATAGCTGTGGCCATTGTGGTCAATTGGGGAGTGAACCAGCAGATGGAAGACCTCTCCCTCTTCCCTCTTCCTTCTCTCTCTCCCTCCCTCCTTCCCTCCCTCTCTCCCTCCCTCCTTCCCTCCCTCTCTCCCTCCCTCCCTCCCTCCCTCCCTCCCTCCCTCTCTCTCTCTCTCTCCTTCTCTCTCTGTGTAAGTCTGACTTTCAAATAAATAAATAAATCTTTAAAAATATTTTTAAAATCCATGCAAATTGTTTTTCAGAAGTCATACTTTACGCATGCTTCCCTCATCCAACCCTTGCATCAGGATCCTCTTGCTGCTGCAGTTACCAGTAGCTTTAATAGCTTAAAACAACACAGCTTCATTCTCTTACAGTTCTGGAGATCAGTGTCACTGGGCCCACAGCCAGGTGCAGGCAGGGCAGTTTCCTTGCCTTTTCAAGCTTCTAGAGGCTTCTGTGGCTCACAGCCCCTCATCATTCCACCGTTCCAAAGCTACATCTCCTTCTTTGAGTCTCTTTCCTCTTTCTTTTTAAACACTTACTACTAATTTATTAGTGGGGTGGAAGCTCCTGAA